GGGGTTGAGGAAAATCCCAGCTCCTCCAGCTAAAGAATCTGGGGCTGGAACCCTGAAAGTCTGGCTTCAGGGTCAGGACTTTACTACTGCATGAGTGTCCTCCACCTACTTTTTACAGACTAGGAAAACAAGACTGCATGGGTTACTGGGCACGGTGAGAACGATGAGTGAACGGCCAAGGTCAGCATCTTCCTCCTTCTTGGCATTAGTTCTCTTTCACCAGAAAGCAGGAAGTGCAATTCTGTGAGTCACAGAGGAGGCAGCAGAGATCCTGACAAGTACTTCCAACAAGATGGTATTCAAATATCTTTTAACAATGACAATTTTTGTTCTAATGGGAAGCTACTTGGAAGTCCAATATATCTTGCAGATAAACCCCAATGTTCATTGCAGCACTATTTACAATAGCCAAGACAAGGAAACAACCTAAAGGTCTATCGACAGAGGAATGGATAAAGAAGATGTGGTACGTATATACAGTGGAATATTACTCATCATAAAAAAGAATGAAATAATGCCATTTGCAGTAACATGGATGCACCCAGAGATTACCATACTGAGTGAAGTCAGTCAGACAGAGAAAGACAAATATCACTGTGATATTTGTCATACGATATCACTCATATGTGGAATCTAATTTTTAAAAAAAGAAGATACAAATGGAGATTTCCCTGGTGGTGCAGTGGTTAAGAATCTGCCTGCCAAAGCAGGGGACACGGGTTGGATCCCGGGTCCGGGAAGATTCCACGTGCCGTGGAGCAACTAAGCCCGTGCACCACAACTACTGAGCCTGTGCTCTAGAGCCCGTGAGCCACAACTACTGAGCCTGCGTGCCACAACTACCGAGCCCGCGTGCCTAGAGCCCGTGCTCCACAAGAGAAGCCACCGCAATGAGAAGACCGCGCACCGCAACGAAGAGTAGCCCCCGCTAGCCGCAACTAGAGAAAGCCTGCACACAGCAACGAAGACCGAACGCAGCCAGAAATAAATAAATAAATAAAGATACAAATGAGCTTATTTATAAAACAGAAACAGACTTACAGATATTGAAAACAAACTTATGGTTACCAAAGGGGGGAAACGTGGCAGGGAGGGATAAATCAGGAGCTTGGGATGAACATACACAGACGACTATATATATAAGACAGGTAACCAACAAGGATCTAGCACAGGGAACGCTACTCAATATTCTGTGATAACTTACATGAGAAAAGAATCTAAAAAAGAATGAATGCATGTATATGTATAACTGAATCACTCTGTTGTACACCTGAAATTAACACAACATTGTAAATCAACTATACTCCAGTAAAATTAAAATTTAAAAAGTGAGTTACTCTGGTTGAAGGTGAGAGGGGGCAGCCTAAACTCGAACCTTGACCCGATGGTGGCCCCCGAGGCTCTCCCATGAAAGCACTAGGCTTGAAAAGCACATCTGGAAAATCACTCCCTGTTGTAGATTACAAAAATGGCCAAAATTCTTTGTAGCCCTTCCCATCAAGAGGTGGGGTCCATCTCCTCCATTCCTAGCATTGGAGCTAGGATGCTGACTTGCTTTGATCAAAAGAATGGAGTGAAAGTGTCGTCATGCCAATTCTGAGTCTAGGCCTGTGCTTGCTCTCGGAATCCTTCTGCCACCAGGCAGGCGAGTTTAGGCTAGCCTGCTGGATGATGAGAGCCCATGTGGCCCCGGACATCATAAACCAAGCCACCAGCCGATCATGCCCATCTGAGATCAGCCAATTCCAGCCCAGGCCATAAGGACTGCCCAGCTGAGACCAGCCCAAATTGCTGATTTACAAAATTATGAGCGAAGTCAACGATGTTACCTTAAGCTACTAAGTTTCAGAGTGGCTCATTATGCAGCAACAACTAAATGATATAGTTTCCAGACAGAAGAACCTCAAAATAATGCGATGACCTTCCCCTCAGGTCTCGAAATTCGAGGAAATGCACAGCAAGGGGTCCAACCCCAGAGCAGACCCTATCCCCAGTCCTAACCAAAGCCCTTCCCGATCCACCTATGCTTCCAAATGTGGTGGGCAGAGGCCAGACATGTCCCCTTCTGCCCTAACTTCAAACAGAATTACGATCACAGAGGGGGACAAAGACACTATTACTCGGCCCCAAGAGGACCAAAGGTCCAGCTAGAGAATTCTATTCAGAATCCACATGTGCAGAGAAAGGGCACCTCCCGGGTTCCCCACAGATGCCTCCGGGCTCATGGCATTCTTAAAGATTGGGGCTGGGGAAAGAGGCGGCAGAGAGAAGGAGACAAGGTCTTCAAGTTTAAACCTTGTATGTTACAGCTGCTCAGAAAACGCCAAAAAAATGTAAATGAAAATTCTCAGCCGCAGTGGGAGAAATCAAGGCCCAAGGTCCCAGGTTAATCTTTCAGACTGCTGGGCACACTGCAAAGCTGTCTCCATTTATTTACTTCTAATTGAAAGCTGGCGTGCTGAGGGTTACTCCACCCAGGCGTGAAGCGCAGCCATCCGTGAAAGATTTCCCAAGACCTCTTCCTCTGCAGAAGCATCCTTCATGTGCTTGAAAGGGAAAATGTCATGGGGACACTAAATTAAAACTCAGTTTTGTCTTTGAAAAATAGATCCAATCCTCAATAGGATGTGGTTGGACAGATACCAGCATTAGCATAATTCCTTAGTACATTTTATAGGCCAATCGGAAAAAAAAAGGATACCCAGAAACCTATCAGATAGAAAGGTCTCATGGGGGCCACACATGCTAATTTTCACAGATGGACACTCCTGGGACTCACAGTTGACAAAGGGTGGTTTTCTCTGGGAGACTTTTAACTCTTACAGGGGTTGTTTCAACACAGTTGGTCAGCTGGTGGGAGATACCAACCAGGAAAAAGAAGTTCACTACCTTTCAAGATTGTTAGCTATGCACGAATTCATTAGTTCACTTACTCACTTCTTCATTGATTCAACAAATGCTTATTGAGTCCCTACAGTGGGCGAGGCACTGTCTTGGCCACTGGGCATACTGCTGGGGAACCGGCCCCCAAGAAGCCTACAGTCTACCAGGAAAGAGAGTTGGGCAAACAAGTTAAGACAGTCCTCCATTTATGTAAGGGCTCCCTTTGGAAAACCTTCTGTGAGTCAGTTTTGGACACAAACCAGAATTGTTCAAAACTCTGGACCCATTCAGCAGGTGTGCATACAAAAGCAGTGGAGACATTTGAGCACACAGGGAGCAGCCTGTGCAGGCTCCTGCCTCGCTTCTTAGACAAACTCTGTCATTAGTGTAAAGAGGTAAAGAACATGGGCATTGGAGTTGGGCAGACCTCCACCCAAGTGCTGTCTCTGTCTTACCATCAGTGAAGTCTTAGGCAAGATCCCTGATTCTCAGAGCCTCACATTCTTTGTCAGTAAAATGAGGATAGCATGGCTGAAGGCTGCAGTGAGCCCAGCTGAAAGACTACCTTGGCCAGCCTCCCTTGCAGCTAGGTGTGGCTATGGGAGTAATCTCTGGCCCATGAGATGTAAGTGGCAGTTGTTGCGTGGGATTTCTGGTAAAGTAAGCTCACAAAGCAAGCTGGAACTTGAAAAAATATCTTTTGCTTTCCTCTTTTTCCTCTCTGTCAGGGATGTAGATATAAAGGCAGGAGCTACAGCAGCCATCTTGGGCCATGAGGTAAACTTGAAGATGGAATTTGGAACTAAGAAAGACAGAAGGAGCCTGAGATTCTGATGATCAAGGAACTACTATTAAGACCATGGCCAACAAGGTTCAGGCTTCTTTTATGTGTGAGAAAAATTAAATATTTCTTAAAATCACTATTATTTCTGGTCTATTTTAAGGCACCGATAGCAACTCCTAATACAAGTAGCCATAGTGTTAATGTGAAAATTGAATGAGGTCATTCACACTGAACGCTTAGCCCAGTATCTGGCCCACAGTGAGCTCTCAGGGCAGAAGAGTTCACACTGTCATTATTCATATGAAATATTTACATTGTCTTAGCTCAGGATGCTACAGCAAAATACCAAAGATTGGGAACCTTACAGAAATGAAATTTATTTCTCACAGTTTTGGAGGCTAGAAGTCCAAGATCAAGGTGCTGGCCGATTTGATTCCTCAAGGGTCCTCTCCCCGGCTTACAGCCACTTTCTTACTGTGTCTTCACATGACAGCAAGAGGGGGAAAGCTCTGGTCTCTTTTCTTCTTGTAAGGGCACTAATCTCATCATGGGGCTGCACCCTCATGACCTCATCTGAAACTAATTATTTCCCAAAGGCCTTACCTCCAAATAGTATCACACAGGGCGGGAGGCAGGGGTTAGGGCTTCAACATATGAATTTGTTGGACATCAGTCCATAACATACATAGACCCTACCGGAAGTTTCAAACACAGTTGGTTTGCTTAAATTAGATTAGCAGAAATAGAAAACCTCCTGGATTATACTTGAGAATCGTGAGGGTTACAATAAACGGAGGTCAGGATACCAGAGGACTGAAAGTCCAACATGATGACTGGGGTTTGGAGGTTGTGTCCATATGCCTTGCTTCCTGGCATCACTTAGATGGCAGGACCAGTCATTCGTCAAGGCCGCTCCTAACTCATGAGAGTAAAACCACATCATCTGATTAAGAAGACCTCAAACAATGAAATCCATGGTCAGACCACACATCCACCTTATGTTTCATTCTTTGCTTCACAGATGACAAAACAACAGCAGCAGCACACTATGAGGAGAATCTGCTGTGTGCCAGGCTCTGTCCTGGCTCTGGCCTCAGAGTGAACCAGTCAGGGCCTGCAGATGGCATGCTCAGATTAGGAACTTTGAGGAGAGTTTATTAGAAAGACCGTTTCCAAAGATGTGGGCAAGATATAGAGAAACCACAGGGAGAGTGCAGCACCAGGGCGGTAAAGGGCGGGCTGTCACCCCCTCCCCCAGCCCCCTGGGCCTGTAGCCTTGAGCACACAGAGCAGTTACCAGATCCTGTAGACAGGGCTGCCCGGCAGGACTCACAGCCAGCTCACGCGGACCCCCCAGGAGTGAACATGAACCTCAGTCTCCTCCCGCTCCAAACTCGTGGTTCCCACGAGGCGGATCTTCCAGAAACCGGAGAGTAGTGGAGCCTGTGCCCACAGCCCATTCAGGTCAGTCTTCTAGACATAGAGGGGGGGTGAAGAGTGAATCTGGAGGGGCCCAGGGCCTTATCCTTTTAATCTTCAATAACTATCCTATGAGGTAAATACTATTATTACCTCCCTTACACACACGAGGAAACCGAGGCCCAAAGAGAAACCATTTACACATGTGAAACAACTAATTTTGTAAAGATGTACAACTTGGATTCTCTAGGATGAGATGTTGAACTCTTGTTACTTAAGCTATTTAAAATAAGGTAGTATTCCTATTAAAGTATATGCACATCTATGTCAGAGCTTAACAGACACGACAGCTCATGCCCCTATGAGATGCACACTCTGATTACCTCTGTTTTACTGTTGAGGAAGCAGAGACTTAATGATGTTGAGCCAGGTGACTTCTAGGATCCTTTAAAATCAGAATTGTCTCTAATTCAGTAACTATTTAAACCATTGCTTATGATTTGTAAAAACAAGACCACGAAAAGTCCACAGGACCACCAACAAACATGTGTACTGAAATTATAAAACTCTTTCCAGTGAAATACACCACTGCAGTAAATCCTTCCATTCAGGGACACAAAAGTGGTTGACATTAGCGGAAACAGCACAGATAACCTAAAATCAGGGGCAAACACGTTCTGTCCCTCCCAGCTGCATTCCTGGCCATTATGCCCCGAATTCTTTCTTTGATTCCTCCTTTGTATCCCAAGACCAAAGTTTCTTGGGAAGAAAGAAAAGGGTTTTCTGGAGACGTGACATATCATAGTGTTATTGGCCGTAGTATTAGTTGGGATTCTGTGGGTACAAGTTATAGGAAATCCAGCTCAAACTGGCTAAAACTAAAAAGGAAAGCTATTGGCTCATGCCCTAGAGTAACCGTGGCTTCGGGCATTGACTGATTCAGGGCTCAAAGGATGCCACCAAGAACTAGCTCCCTTCTCTGCATGTGATTCTGCTCCTTGGTGTTGGCTCCATGGAGCTGCGAAGTGGCCACCAACAGCTCCTCAGACCACCCTCTTCCAGCATCTAATCCAGCAGGAGAGCAAAATTCCACTTCTTCAGTAATTCAGATGAAAACAGTAGAACTGAGTCTCTCTGGCCCTGACTGGCATGGCATGGATCCTACGGTCACTACGGCCAAGGAAATGTTGTATTCCAATCAGCCAGGGTGGGGCTGACCTCTCCTACAACATGTGGACTGAGGCTGGGCCAAGGATGATCTCATAGAAGCATCAGGGCTGCTGATCAAAGAAAAGGGAAAGGATGCGGGGCGGGGAAAGCAACCCCTCTCCACCACAGCGAGCAATACCATCACCAGAAAGATGCACCAGGGAATTTCTTCAGCCCAGAACCTGGCGGCGGAAGTCCTAGAGATGTCCAAGCCACAGCGGGACTCGGGGATGCGTCCGTAACCTCCTCTCCCCACCTCCCCGCCAACGGTCCCCCCATCCCAGCCTTCTTCCTAACTTGGGGGAAGGGGTCACAGGGTGGAATACATGCCTCCCAACACAACCACCTTCAGCTCTCCACTCAGTTCCCGGAGAATTCCTCCCCCTGGCCCTCAGATCTGAGCTGGAACCTTGCCTTCTCCCTGAAGCCATCGCTAACAAGACTCCCCAACTTCCCCAAGAGCTACCATTCCCCTCTTCCAGGGACTTGCAATGTTTTGTACATGCATTATCTTCATTCGAGGGCTTATTTTTCGTGCATCAAAATGATCGGTTTACACACCAGTCCCTCCTATTCTACACTCACTCACACACACTCACACACGCTCACCCCTACCAGATTAGAAACTGTTGGAAAGCAGAGATCAGCTTTTCTTCACTCTGAGTGCCTAACACGCAGCATAACATCTGAAACGGTGTTCAGAAATGGTGGGTGAATTAATGAGCAAATGAAAGCTTTCTACAGTTCCTGACACCAGATAAAACGTGCAACACTCATTTGGGCATTTAGTCAATCAACAGTGCTTGGTAAAGGATGAAATGGTGCCATTTGCAGCAACATGGATGGACCTAGAGATTATTATACTAAGTGAAGTAAGCCAGACAAAGACAGATATCATATGATATCACTTCTATGTGGAATCTAAAAAAAAAAAAAAAAAATTGATACAAATGAGTTTATATACAAAACAGAAACAGACCCACAGACATAGAAAACAAATTTATGGTTACCAAAGGGGAGAGGGAAGGAGGAGAGAAATTAGGAGTTTGGGATTAACATATACCAAAAAAAAAACCCCAAAAGCAGTGTTTATCAAACTCCTACTGAGTATAGACTAGGCATGAGCAAATTGTCAAAAATCAAATCAAATAGGTAAAGGGAAAAGCAATGGTATGCTTATTCTGCTTGTTTTAAAATAGAAAAAACCCGAAATAAAGAGAATGTGCCTGGTCTATGGATTCTCGTGCGGGAGCTACACCGTCAGGGAGGGAAAGTAGCCCCAGAAGCGCCAAAGAAGTCACCGTGAGATCCCGGGAAATGTGCCCGGTTTGTCCTCACGAGTGCAAACCGGTGGTTAAGGGCAAACCGTTGAGTTGTGAAAGCGCCCTTGAGAGATCCGATCTGAGAGGCAGAAAGGCCTGGGCTTGCTTCTCTGCCCCTTACTAGAGGATCTCAGGCGGCTGATTCAACTGCTCTGGGCCTCGTCTGCTCATCTGTAAAACGAAGAGATGACCACCCACTGATCTGCCCGCGGGGTTCAAGCCTCAACCGGGTGCGTTGGTACCTCCCTCCCTTCGTTCCGCACATGCCGTCTCCATCGAGCTCACCTGCGCAAACGTGCCGGAATCCAACCGCCTCTCTCCCACTTACCTGCTGTGGGTCTGAGCCTCCGTAGACTGGGACGAGCATCCTCGGTGTCCAGAGTTCTTCAGTTCCTGAGGTGCCCTGAATGAGCGGTGGAGCCAGCAGAGCGTGCGCCATCGCAAACAGCTGTTTGGTCCACTGGGCTCCTGAGTTTGGAAAGGGAGGGAGACCCGTACGCTCTGGTTAGCGTAGCTTCCTCGTCTCCTTTCCCCTGTCTTCGCTCCTCCTATCTCTTCTCCACCCAGCACGTAGAGGAACAGTGCAGACGCAGGACCGCTTCCGTCCTGTCCCTCCCGAACTCCAGAAGCTTCCAGGGCGGCCCGTGAATCCCTCCGCGCCTGACGCAGGTTCCACCCCGGCCACGCGCCACGCACCACGCACGCACCACTGCGTAGTTCGCCAGCCGCCTAGTCCGCCCGCCGCTCCGGCGTGCGGCCTTTCTACGTGATACTGGATGTGCAAACGCGTTCCCACTTTGTAACTTTGACTTTGCCCTTGTCCTTCCCTCTGCAGGGCAGCCGGGGTTCCCAGATCTTTGCAGCTGCATCCTTGCCGTCCCTCCGATCTCCGCTCAGTCCTTCCTGACCACGCGTGCAAGTCCAACAGGAGTCCTTCTGCCGCCTCTATTTTATTTTTTTCATCACACAGACTCTGCTTGAAACCATCTTATTCGTTTGCTTAATTGCACCCAAACTGGAATGTCTGCTCCCCGGTGTAAGGATGTAATTTGGCGTTGCAGACCCTAGAAGAGTGCCTGACACATAATAAACGCTCAAAAAATATTTGATGGTTGAAAGAATGAAGGAAGGGAGGAAGGAAAGAAGGGAAGAAGTGGGGGGAGCACATCCCTCAAAGGACAGTCTCAATTAGAGCGTTCTAAACCACTCAGCACAGTGCCTGGCACTCAGGAACGACTTAATACATCAACTGTTATTCAGTTATTAGGAAAGAATAGGGGGCAGCACACAAGCACAGGAGAAAGAAAAGCAAAAACAGCCCTCCCCCACTTTGCTTGGATTCACCTGGCTTCTGAACAGAATATTTGAGGTCTCTGACGAAGCAACATCCCCTTTGGCTTCCCTGGAACTTATGCTTGAACCCAGTTCAGACCCCAAGGGTTTGGAGTTCATTTACTTTTGGCAAACCATCGGCTCTTTTTTTCTAAGGGGAAAAAATAAAATACAAAAAGATAGTCACATAATATCTTGGAGATCAAATGCCTCTTGGAAAACTGCATTTTGATGAGTGAGGGAATCAAAACCATATGGATTAAATTCTCCTTAGATCTCTTAAGGGGAAATGGGAGCGTGAGCGAGGGAAGGGCAGGGAAGGCAGTGAAATTCCGCACTGACTTTTCTGAACATAAAGCTAGCCGTGAAGGATGGCCTGAGATGTCTCAGGTCCTTCAAAACTGTTTGTTGACCACGTGCCAGCTGACTCATCAGAGAAGGAAATGTGAAAGGTTTTGTTTTTGTTTTTGATTTTTAATCACCTCTGTTTCTTTTCTTCTGATTTCCCCTCCTCTATGGGGCTGACTTTGGGGTCTTGTTAGTGACTCAGAAAAGGTACTGGGACATTCAGTGTGTATAATTTCTCCCAGAAAGCAACCTCCAAGTTTCTCCCTGAGAAAAGGGCCTTAAATATCTGCTGGAGCTAAATATTTGCAATCAGGTACTTAGATGAGCTCCTTTCTGTCTTTCTCTCTCTTTCTTTCTTTCTCTCTCTCTCTCTCTCTCTCTCTTCCTCCCTCCCTCTCTCTCTCTCTCTCTCTCTCTCCCTCTCTCTCTCTCTCTCTTTTTTCATGGTCATGTTTCTATCTGCATTTTGCTGATGCAGGCAAGTTGCTGAAAGAGACTCCACATCCACAGCGTGATTGACGCCGTCGCTTGCTGTGAGAGGAAATCAAGGGGAACAAGTGCTTCCAACTTTTTTACCTCAAGCACAGAGAAACCTCAAAAGCTGTTTCCTCTGTTCTTCTCACCCTAATCTGAGAGCAGGTGACACTGCTGACCACCCGCCTGGCTGGGGTACTAAACTCAGGTAACACTGACTGGACGTTTACACTGTAGGAGACCCCAAGCGTCCTCTCATTTCATCCTCCCAAACCACTTCAGGGGAGGTGCTCTTATTGTTCTCATTTCAAAGGTACTGGGACATTCAGTGTGTATAATTTCTCCCAGAAAGCAACCTCCAAGTTTCTCCCTGAGAAAAGGGCCTTAAATATCTGCTGGAGCTAAATATTTGCAATCAGGTACTTAGATGAGCTCCTTTCTGTCTTTCTCTCTCTTTCTTTCTTTCTCTCTCTCTCTCTCTCTCTCTCTTCCTCCCTCCCTCTCTCTCTCTCTCTCTCTCTCTCCCTCTCTCTCTCTCTCTCTTCTTTCATGGTCATGTTTCTATCTGCATTTTGCTGATGCAGGCAAGTTGCTGAAAGAGACTCCACATCCACAGCGTGATTGACGCCGTCGCTTGCTGTGAGAGGAAATCAAGGGGAACAAGTGCTTCCAACTTTTTTACCTCAAGCACAGAGAAACCTCAAAAGCTGTTTCCTCTGTTCTTCTCACCCTAATCTGAGAGCAGGTGACACTGCTGACCACCCGCCTGGCTGGGGTACTAAACTCAGGTAACACTGACTGGACGTTTACACTGTAGGAGACCCCAAGCGTCCTCTCATTTCATCCTCCCAAACCACTTCAGGGGAGGTGCTCTTATTGTTCTCATTTCACAAATGGGGTGACTGAGGCACAGAGAGGTTAAGCAACTTAACCAAGGTCAAACAGGGAGGAAATAGCAGAGCTGGGATTTGAACCAAGGTTTTGCCACTGCCAGAGTCTGTACTCCCAACCATTATTTCCCTCAAAATATCCTGCATTTCTGGAATTTGTGTCTTTGCTCTTGCTGTGCCATTCATCTAAAAAGCCTTTCTCGCTACTCCTAACCTTTCTCCCAGCTGCCTGACAAGAATCTTCCCCACCCTCCAACGTGTGTCTCAGGTGTCCAGCAAAGCTTTTTGGAAGCCCCCAGGTTGGTTGGGACTTCTCCAACCTCTGAACTCCAGGGCACCTGGTGCCTCTCTGCGCTGTCCAGCCCCCCGCTACGTCATAAAACCAGCCATTTGAGTCCTGGCTTTAAATGAGACACCCCTGCGTTTAATCGCCTGCTGGGACACTCTACATTTACAAACCACTCCAAGACTCAGATTCCTTATCTACAGAAGGGGGAAAATGAGATGACCAGTGTGAGCAAATGGCCAGCTAATACACGCAAGGCACACAGGAAGCACGCCCTCCGCCTCGGCTGCTGTCTTCTGGTTCCTGGGCTGCTTGTTTGAGCTCCCGCACCTGACTGTAAATGCTCTGAGGAAATATAATAGTCACTGATTTAGGCAGTGATTGGATCAGGCATTTCGCTGAGTTTAAAGGAGAGAGGAGAGGGGGCCGGTGGGGACAGCAGATGGAAACACGGCTCAGAGGGAATAAGGGCAGCCACTGTGGCCTCAGTGCCTGTTGTGTGACAGGGTTTTCAAGGATTAATTCATTTCATCCTCACAGCAACCCTAGCAGCTAAGTGCTGTTATTATTCCCATTTTACAGATGAAGAAACTGAGGCCCAGGGAAGTTGAGTGACTTGCCCTAAGCCATATATGTATTCGGTAAGTTCAGAGTCAGGATTTGAGCCCTGACATTCTGGGTCCAGAGTCCAAGGTCTTCCCTGTTAAACTAGATTACCCCCAAAAGGGGGGATTTTAAAGCTTTCAAATAGCAACGAAACAAAAGGCTGAGAGTCTCCAGCCAGGATTGGCAGCTATTTAGTGGGTACACATGTTGAGACAAGTTTATCAACACTTTCCTGGGAGTTTATTCAATGGGAGGAAGTGTTGGGGGCTCCCCCTGCAGGAAGCCATGTTGGCTTTGTGGTTGCACATGAACTTGATCATAAAACAGGAAAAATGCTGACTGAGGTGAGGAGGCTTTGGGTGGGATCGTATATATACGTATTTTATCATGCTTGTATATACTTTCATGTTTTTTCTTGAAGAACTTGATTTCACATATACCTCAAGGTGAGGTTCAGCAAATAAATGCAAGACTGGGGGAAACGTAAAAGATCAATACGATGGTGAAACATTTAATTAGTCCTAAAAAGGTGAGGCATCAAGGGAGTCTTCTGAGAGGAAGGGACAGCTGGACTGAGACCAGAAGGGTGAGTCAGAGTAGGCTTAATGAAAAGGACACTGAGGGTTGGATCACTCCACAGCCATTTCCAAACCCTTTCCCTTTTATTGTTCTCCACTATGGAAGCTTGAATGAGAAGCTTCCCAGCATCCCTTGAAGCTAGAGGGGTCTATGAGACCAAGTTTGACCAGTGTGACACCAACATAAGTCTGCTGGAGGTTTTTCTGGGAAAAAGTTTTACTTTCTTCATGAAAGAGACAGAAATGGCTTGTTTAGCCCTTTCCCATTCTTCTTATGGGAAAGGAAGGATGTAACGCCTGGAGCTGTGGTAGCCATCTTATGACCATGAGGTGACACAGAACCAGCCCTGTTGTCATCATGCTGCTGAAGCAATGCTAGCTGGTACCCACCTCTATATTTCTTGTTATGTGAAGAAAAAACAAGAGCCACTATTTGAGCCCATCTGCATCCATTTTTTTTTCAGCGCTTGCAATCAAAAGCATTTATAACTCATACACTAGGCAAAGCAGGAAAATAATTATGAAAAAATGAGCTGTTCAAGACAGAGGGTCCAATATGTGCAAAAACCTGGAGGAGAGAAAGACTGCAGCATAATCTGAAGATGAGAGACTCAGTGTACGTGATGTATATGTTGCCGGTGCTGGTGCTGGTGGTGAGTGTTGGCTGCTGGCTGTGGTGAGCAATGAGAGTGGAGAACCACACGAGAGCTAGAGCACGCAGGGCCTTGCACAGCTTGTAACTTTAGATCTGGACATTATCTGTAATAAGGGGACACCATGGAAAGCCGTGTGTGTGTGTGTGTGTGTGTGTGTGTGTGTGTGTGTGTGTGTGTGTGTGTGTGTGTGTGTGTGTGTGTATGTGTTGAATCAGGGGAGTGCCTGGGATAAAGTTACGTTCTAAAAAAGACCCTTCTGGCCTGAGTTC